AAACTGCTCTGCGTCCCTAGAAATTCCAGACCGACGGCGCAGAAGCATAGCAGCAAAACTGATTAGCTACCAGACCGATGGGACATTTGATGTTTGCGGTTGCAGAAGTATAATCTGCCCTTTCAACTGCCTGGTATTGCCAAATGGATCCGAGTACCGAGCCCTGAGGTTCTCCTGTGGAACGTAATTCTCTACAAATTAATGGAGGAACTTCGGTTTGCTTCAGAACTTCAGGTTCACTTCAGGTTTTAGTCTAATCATCGCGTCTCTAACTGGGCATTGTTTTTTTTTCCCAGAATGCCGAGCTCTTGAGCAGCCTGGACTCTGCATCTGTCCGCATTTTCAAACCTCTAACCTTCCCCGCCACCAACGTGCGCCTCCCTCCCATCAGCCCCCAGCAGACCAGCACCCCGCCGATCTTCAGCGCCGGCCCCACCTCCAGCCACGCCTCCCCGCCTCTGGACGCCCCCCACATGGCCACCATCCTGGAGGACCCCAGCCTGGACTCCCACCTGGACGAGGGGGAGCTGCAGGAGGCGTTTGGCCGACCGGCCGGGGCGACGCGGCGTTCGTTCGAGGACCTGACGGAGCGAGACCCGGCGAGCCGCACGGACAGGCCCAAGAGGTTCCGACTCCAGAGGCAGCATCAGATCGACAGCAGGGAGACTCAGTGCTGAGGGACGCAGCCAGGGGGCGCTGCTCTACATATTTCATCTCTGAACTCAGGTTACAGACTAAACTTGGGTTTTCTTTTACTCTATTTTAAAGTCATCAGGCAGAAAGACGTTACTGCATCCCAGATGGTCCCTGAACGCCTCATTATCCCTTTGATTTGTGTTCAACTACCTTTAAAATAACATTCTGCTCATTTTTCCCATTCGATCTCATTTAACTCCTTTTATTTCCCCCTCAAAGGTACAACTTTTAAAATGTGCACTCCAGCCGTTACAATAATCCATTCATATTTTTCATATAACTATTATTTGCTGTAGAAATCTGTTCCCTGGCTGCTGACCAGGCCTTCATCTCCATAATTAAAGCAGAATCTTGAACAGAACTTTTTATATTAAGATTTCAGACATTTAAAAAATAAAACAGAAATACGAACTTTAAAAAGCTGTTTACTGAAGACCTTTTAGGTTCTAATGAAGTTTAAAGCAGCTTAATCCTGAAAAGATCATGGATTAGATTTGTTTCCTTAATATTAAAGCAGAAAAATCCAACTTTCCTAAGAATAAATGACAAAAAAAAAAACTCAGTAATCTGTAGTTTGACTCAAAATAATTAAGAACTGGCCTTTTTTTTCCAGAAAGTAAACAGTTAAATCTCCTATTTGACCATTTCTGAGATAACTGAACAATTATTAAAACAAAAACAAGTTAATTTGGATAATTAATCATGAGAAAGAAGATAGAGGAACTTATTAAAGATGAGCTTAGATCTCATTATCTCTACGTCACTAAACGGATTTAAATAAACAATTTGATTAAAACTGAAAAAAAAGGCTCAAGATAATTGGTTAAAACAAACAGTTTCTGACCGCAGGTACGGAAACTTAATAAAACACCTTTACATGGATGACATCATAACGAGGTGTAACACAAAGATGATTAAAATCTATGAAAGCAACAGGAGGCTGAAGATTTCAGGTCCGTTTCATGAAGCAGGTTTAACAAAATCCTCAACTCTAAGGCGACGTTCACCCAGCAGCCTGAAGAGACCCCAATCCGATTTTTTTTTGGCCTAAATGCGACCTGGATCTGATCTTTTCATAAGTCTGAACAACACGGATCCGATTTTTTCCAATGAGACCCAGGCCGCTCGGCTATGTGGTCCTGAATCCGATACGAATCTGATCTTTTCAAATGCGACCTGCGTGTGAACGACCAGGTCGCATTTATCCGAACCGAACGCCATTAATACCCGACAAAGGTCACTATTCTGGATCTTGCTACGAAGAAGCGGCAAGAAAAACAACAACCATGGCGGACGATGATGCGGAGAGCAGTATTTATGTTCAACCTTCTCGAAAAGCTTGTTTTTATGGTTGGGAAAGTTCGCTAGATGCGCTCCGGCACAACTATGAATTTTGTAGCACTTTGAGATTTTGTTGAGATGTAAAGTGCAATACAAATAAAATGTATTATTATTATTATTATCACCATCCATGTTTACTTCCGTAAACACAGAGCACGCTGACCTGTGACGTCATTGCGTCCTCTACTGCGCATGCGGGACACTTGCGTTGTATGACTGCAGTTCACACTGGAAATCACATACAAGTCGCATATATTTGGAAATTTAAACGGTAACGGAAAAAATTGGATTTCATAAAAAAAAATCGGAATTGAGCATCAAGGCCTGCAGTTTGAACGTAGCCTAAATTGATGTTGCCTAAAGTTGAAACTGAGTGTTCAGTTTCACAACGGCTGCTATCAATTAGCTCAGTCAGTTTAAACATGGTCCACTCAGAGTGTAGGGCGTGCGTAACAAGTATGAAAAGCCATTTTCTGTGGAGCATCGATTTGACGAGTCACCATGACAACAGGAAGTACCTATTTAACCACACTGGAACTGTGTTAAAAAGCCAGAGAAACAGCGCTACACCTACAAAGGTGAGGAAGGTGGTAACGGAGAAATACTCCTGCTCTACGGCAGGCCGTTTTTACATTTATTTAAAGCACTCTCCTCTCTGTTGTTCTATTTGTAGATCATATAAAATCAGATTCTCCCTGATCAAAATCACACTCCTAGACTGAACTGTAATAAAATATTTCCTTTATTACATTTTTGTAGCAGAAACTGAATTTCAGAAATTAAAACAAAAAACAAAATTATACTAATAAGAATGAAGTTTCATAAATGTAGAAATGTTTTCGCATTTTAATGTGCCGCTCTGACATTTATCAACTTGACTGAAAATGTATTTTATGATATCTTTAAAAAATATATTTTTCATAGTTAAAATAATTAAAAAGATGTCCTGTAAATATATTACATATTAGGAATATGGAGATCTGAAATTAATTTATAGACATCCAGAATGTTTTGTTCTAGATGGAGGACGCTCCGAGTTTACTGAAGCTGACCAGGTTAGCTTTGGGGAGAACGTTACCACGGCGACAGGACAGTTTCCCTAATTTCAGGTTTAGAAAACTGAAGAGTTTTCGTTAAACCTGCTTCATGAAACCGACCCTTCATCTTAAGGTGAAGAAATAACCCAATTAGAGCAATAAATTCATCTCAATATTTAAAATAAAACCATATTAATCCTATTTTTATATCAAAATGTGCGTCAGATCTTCATGCGAGATGATTAATATAAGCTTATTTGTGTTTATATAATGAGATACTAAAACTGCTTTAGATCTCAGACATTAGAAGCTTCTGGATTAGTTTATAATCAGATGATCGAACAGCACTGATGTTTGTCCATCTCACGAGTTTAGCACAATTAAGCCTTAAAGCGAAAGGTGTCCAAATTCCTAATAAACTTGAAACATTTTTTCTGGGAGGTTTTATGTTATTTTGTTAAGATTTAAACTGGTCTTTGGGATTAAAGTTAAATCTTCCTTTTCTCTGTTTGGGAGACGTTAGTATTCTGGTTTTATTTCAATCAATTTCAGGTATTTTCAGAAGGAAGTTTCTGGAAAAGTTTGGTTTGAACTGTTTGGTTTTTTTTTTTGCAGACTGCTGGTTTCTCTTTAGCCAAACAGCTGAAAAATGTGGGAATATTTTTAAAGATGGTTGTTTTTTTAATAAAATTTTCTTCAAACAGCAAAGAATTGTTAAAGTTCAGATAAAAAAAAAAGATTTACAGACTTTACAGCTTTGGTGTTTTGGAGGAAAAGGGTTTATTAAATCTATGTTTGTGTTTTATCTTATTTAAAAGTTGCTCAAGTGTTAAAACCTTCTCTGTCAGTATTTTATAATGTTTTGTTTTTGTCGTTTCAACATGTTTACCTTCATTTGAATGTTTCCAAAGCTGCAGATTTTACATGAAAAATAAAGAAAATTTTTCAGAAACTTTCTGCATCTTTTATTTTATATAAAAAAATCTAAAATCCATTTATTCAACTTAAGAGTTTATTACTGCTTTTATTCAGAATTGAAAACAAAATCAGAACTTAAACTACTGAATATTAAACGTAATCTAATGATGTTTGGAGGTGACAGAATAAATCCCGCCTTATATACATGTAATCTGAAGTATTTTCAGATATTAAGTAGCTAAATTTAACCATCTTTGCTTTTTGAAGTCAGAATCTGCATTATACGATTATAAAAATAGGATTACAAATCAAACATTTAATTTATAACATACCTTCTAAAATTAATATCAATAAAACTGGGATTTATTCTAGAAGCTAATTCTTATTTCCTTCAATCTCAGATGAGAGTTTATTCCAAAACATGGTCTAGAAATGAAAAGCTGTAATTGGTTATCTTTATGGTGTCATTTCAGCTTATCGCCAGTAGGGGGCAAACTCCTACAGAAAAACCCTGGAAGGAAGGAATTATGGGGGATAAAAAGTGCCAAAATTAAATAAATACAGCATTAAATAAATAAATGTGTCATTCATTAATTAAAACCACGTCACTAATATAAAGTGAAATAAATACAGCGATAAACAATTAAATGTGTAATTCATTAAATAAATAATTAAATATATAAATGTGTCATTAATTTAATAAAATACACAATCATTTTATTAAAAAATATATATATAATTATTTCAGTGTGCATTTAATTATTTCATGGTCCTGTGTCGCAGTGCATCGAAACCATTAAAAGAATCTGTCAAACTCACCCATCAAAGTTAGGGGGTGGTTATCTAACACCTGATTGGTCACCCTGCACATTAAGGCGAAGCAAATCGATTACAGAGACTCGATTCGAGTTAACCCCGCCCCCTAACTTTGATAATTGATAATTTCATATTTAAAGAACTTTCAGAAGTTCCTAAAACGTCCTAAAATGACCTGGTGACCAAAGTTGGTACAAAACGCCACGCCTGACTCAGAGAATTCAGACAAAATATGTTTATTTTGTACAAAAAGAATCAAAATGAAGCTCCAACAACAGCTGCGCTTAATCAGTAGAAAATAAAACATCTCCTGGAATAAAGTGGGCGTGGCCTGTCAGAAGGCGGGTGTGAGGGCGTCAAAGAGCCGATGGACGGCCACTTCAATCATCTCCCTCAGAGGCTCGTCGTCCGGACACGTCACCGCCTGCAGGATCAGAGGAAACATCTGGAGTTTAAAACGCGTTAAGCTTCTTCGCCTCCACCAAAAGCCTAAAGAGGGCGCGGCTGTGGCAAAGAAATCGGACTCCGCCCACATTTTGTACTCACTCTGGTCTCCGGGTCGACCGTCGCCGTGGCGCCGTCCACAGTCACACACAGGTTCCTGCTGTCCTGGAAGTTCACGCAGTCCTCCCCGAACATGTCGCTAAAATTCGACAGGTACAGCGTTAAGCTAGCGGCTCAGAACGACAGGCTTTTATTTTGAAATGCTGCTTGGACTCACTGCAGCATGAGCTCCAGACGCTCCACAAACACCTCCATGTCGAAGGTCTCCTTCCTGCTGTCCAGGACTAAAACAAACAAACAAACAGGGTTAGAGACGGCAGCTCAGCGCCCTCTACAGGCTGGCATCGTGCTTCTACTGACACTTCTGGGCGCTGGGGTTGGACTGGACCTCCAGAACCACCGTGGCTACGGCATCGGCGTACATGTCATTGAGCGGGTTGGCGACCCACTGAGGAGAGAACAGATGGGAACAAATTTTACATCGGTTGGCTAAGGGCCGCGTCACACCGTACCAATTTATCCAGCGAATACCCGACGTCCCAGAATCCCCTAAAACGCTGAAATACGCCGAACTTTCCATGTATTTTTTTTCAATTTCGGGCGTATGAATAGCGGATGGCAGACGC